TTGGGCGACTGATAATATAATAATATATATATATATATATATATATATATATTATATATTATATATATATATATATAATTTTTTTCTTTAGTGGACACTTTTTGGGGGATTTGTGTTTTTTTAATTTTGGGGGGTTTGGTTTTTTTATTTGATTTATTTATTTTTTTTTCTGTGTATTTTTTAATTTTTTTTTGGCGACTGATACATATATATATATATATATATATATATATATATATATATATATATATATATATATGGTATATATATATGTATATATATATATATATATATATATTATTATATATAATGCATATATATATATATATATATATATATACTATATATATATAATATTATATATATTATATATATATATATATATAATATATATTATATTATATATATATATATATATATATATATATATTATATATATATATATATATATTTTTTTTTTTTTGGCGACTGATACTATATATATAATATATATATATATACTATATATATATATATATATATATATATATATATATATATATGTATATATATGTAATATATATGATATATATATGTATATATATATATATATATATATATATATATACTATATAATATTTGGTTTTTTTTTTTTTTTTTTTTTTTTTAGTGACACTTTTGGGGGCGGGGGGTTGGGCGTTTTATTTGTTCTATTTATTTTTTTTTTGTGATTTTTTTATGTTTTTTCTTTGTGGCTTTCTCTTCTTCTTTCGTTTTTTTTTGCCTTCTCTTTCTCTCCATTCTTTTTCCATGCATCAGCGCTTGCTTACCCTGTTTGTCTCTCTCTCTCTCTCTCTCTTGCCTATCAATCTCTTTCTCCCTATCTCTCATTCTCCATCTCTCATCTTTCACTCGCTAACACACGTATGCAAATTTTAACGCTTTTCCCGCGATTTCTCTCTCTTTTTGTATCTTTCCATTTCGTTCTCACTTTGCCTCTCTCTCTCTCTCTTTCTCTCTTTCTTTAGTTTCTCTCTGGTCTCTCTAGTCTCGTTCTCTCTCTCGTCTGTTTTTATGTCTGCTCTCTCTTTATCTTTCCATTGTCTTTATCTTTCTCCCTCTAGTTTTTATTTTTCTCTCTCTTTCTCTTCCCTTTCTCTCTATTTCTCTGTCTTTATGCATCTTTCTCTCTCTCCCTCTCTCTCTGTCTTTATGTCTCTCTTTCTTCCTCTCCCTCTCCCTCTTTCTCTCTCTCTCTGTCTTATGCTCTCTTTCTTTCTCTTCCTTCCCCACTCTCTCTCTCCTCTCCCGTTCTCTCTCTCTGGCCTCTTTCTCCCTCTCCATTTCTCTCTCCTTCCTCCCTCCCTCCCTCTCTCGCTCTCCCTTTCGCTCCCTTATCTCCCTCCCTTCTCTCTCCCTCTCCCTTTCTCTCCCCCTCCCTCTTCCTCCTCTCCCTCTCTCTCCCTTCCCTCCCTTTCTGTCTCTCCCTCTCTCCCTCTTTCTCCCTCCCTCCCTCCCTTCTCTCGCTCTCTCTCTCTCCCTTTCTTTCTCCCTCCCTTCCCTCCCTCTGTCTCTCCCTCTTTTCTCCCTTCCCTCTCCCTCCTCCCTTTCTCTCTCCTCACCCCCTCGCTAGAAATCTACACAAACGCTTTATACTTGCACGCCAACACTCCGAACCGCCTCCCTGCCTCGAGACACAACCAGGAAAAAATGCCGTTACGAGAACGTCAAGCATGCCGGACCCATCTCTCGCCCCCTCCCCCCTCCTCCCCCTCCCCCTCTTTATCCCCCTCTCTCCCCACTTCCCCTTCTCCTCGTCGTCTCTAAACCCTTCCCTCTCCACTTCCCCTTCTCTTTCGTCTCTTACCCCTCTCATCCCCCTCTTTATCCCCCTCTCTCCCCACTTCCCCTTCTCCTGTCGTCTCTACCCCTCGCCTCCCATCCCTTCTCCTGTCGTCTCTCCCCCTCTCTCCCCCTCTTTATCGCCCCTCTCTCCCCATTCCCCTTCTCCTGATCGTCTCTCTCTACCCCTCCCTCACCCAACTACTTCCCCTTCTCCTGCTCGTCTCTTCCCCCTCTCTCCCCCTCTTTATCCCCACTCTCTCGCCCACTACACCCTTCTACCTGTCGATCTCTAACCCCTCCCTCTCGCTCGCCTCCCTCCTCCTCCTACTTATCCCAACTCCCTTCGCCTGCGTCTCCTCGCTCTCTTTTTGATCTTCGTTGTCTTTCCTCCTCTTTCGTGAACGCGCTTTGATGGATTTGTCTTCTATCTTTAGACTTATATCTCCTGTTTCCTATTCATATGAATTTGTTTCTTCTTCCTCATCTGATTCTCTTTCCCTTCTCCTTTCATCATTGAACATCAATTACTAAATATTCTACACACTCTTTCTTTCCTGTCTTAATTCACTCCCATCTTTCCATTTTCTTCCAACGCCACTCCGCTCTCCCTCTTTCTATTCACTCTTCACGCGCGTGAGTGTGCGTCAATCTCGGTACCACTCCACGCTTAGCGCGC